GGTTCTATACATCAATTGCGATGCGAACCATGTAACTACGTGCAATTCTAAGAAAAGCTCATGGCGAACTGAAATTTGAACATTATGTCGCATAGTTTGTTTTCTATAAAGTGATTGCTCCGTAAATGAGATAATATGGTGCTGTACAGCGCAGTTGTATGACTTATTTAGAACCGCAATCTGCAATATCCTCGGGCCTCGAAATTTTATAAGTCAGCAATGATGGAAATGCAAAATAAATTTTTGGAAAGAGGTTAGATGATTCGTCGTTTTGCATTTTAGTCTGGGTAAGGACATTACGTGGAAGGTCAGGTATTCACTTGTTCCCTGGCTGTTAATCCTATATCAAGTCCAAACATATCACTGCTGGATCGGTCGGTAAGAACTTTCTAGTCTAGGTGAAGAAATTTTTTCTCACGTCATGTTCAGGCGACAAGATACGAGAATTCTATTCCGGTCAATGCGCTTGCCAAGTATGAATGAGTATAATGTTCTGCACTAGGAGCTTTCACTGGCGTATTGTTATAGTTCTTTAATCAGCGCCATGCGGTACTACACTAAACATGTGGAAAATATAAAAAGAGGAGTCCCAAGTAAAACGCGAAAGAGAAAAAGAAGAATAAAAAAGTGAGTGAGGGGATTCATACTTTGAACTAGCTATCAACTTCTGTAGGATCATAGTTTCACTTACCAATGTTCGAATGTGCAGTACACCTGCTTTTTGCCATAGCACGTATCGGTGCACCCTATACTGACGGCGTAACCCGAAATTATCTAAAAATACATGTGCGCTCGTGCATGTACAAGTGGAGTGGACTCACAGGCTAACCCACTTGGTTGAACACAGTATAATCAAAGTTAGGGCTGTAGACTCCAGTTTCATTGATAAAAGCACCAAAGTCGTGATTGCCCCACCACAATTCGAATTCTGCTGCTATTGGGATAGAAGACAGATTGTACGGTACAGGATTGAGTGGTGCTTGTTGGTTGCAGAGTACTATTGCGTATTCCTCAGCCAAGCAGGAGTAGTTCTGGAAGGTTGCACGTCAGTTCTAAAGTTGTCAATCATCACTACGTCTTAGGGAACGCTACTAATGCCTGTTCTGCACGATAATCAATCGTATTTCTTCGAAGTGCAGTGAATCATCAGATTTAACGAAATTGAAGTTGCACACATGAGTTTGAAGACCACTGCAGCTACCTTGCTGACAGGAATTCAACACAGTCATTGACACAGTTACTGTTTCATTTTCCAAAGCGGCACTTATTACTTCAAAAAACGTCACCTACCAATTGATACATGTTCTGGCTTGGGGGATACCCAAATACTCCAGATGTTGCTATTGTACGATAAGCATTTCCCAGCATTAAGGAAAGCTTCCGTTTCTCAGGGGTCATGGTGGTGCCGTTGATTTGACAATGGAATTCTGAAATATTTCTTGGATTATTTGACTCCACTTCGAGGGGCACTTTTTGTAACGCGCTGTCCACTTACGACAAAAGGTC